CCACCCCCCACCCTCCGTGTCCCCCTCCCTTCAACCACCTAACCCAGAACCCAACATATGAATAGTGAAAGAGCCGCCGCCTTCCTAACAGCAAGGGGCGGTAAATCGTGGTGTGCGGGACCTGTGCTGGCTGCTGGTACCACCATCTGTCTGCTCAGGCGCTGGCGGGGAAGCCCCCACATTCTCGTCTGCTCGGGGAGTCTGGAATGAAATTTTGTGTGTGTGCGCGCGACTGAATTTTTCCCTCCCGGTGGCAAAGGCTTGATAGTTGGACGAGCGGAGAGAGTTGCCGGAGCGGTGGTGGTGCTGCGTTGTCAGACGTAAAGGAACTCTCGTAGGAGGAAAGTAGAAGAAAGTGCTGAATGCTGTGATCGCTTTAGGATGTCTTGGCGCGAAAGGCATATCGATAGTCATTAGTGTCAGAGACGAGCGAGAGATCGGAGCAACGAGACACTCACTGTGATAGTTTGGGTATAATAATATTATATCTTTATCTGCACTTTTTCTGTTTCTTTATTCAAGACGTCTTTCTATTGTGGAGATATTTTTTTTACACAGTATCGTTGGCTAGCTGCAGTAACCTAGTCAGCTGTTCAGCTGTTGTCTGTTCAGAAGTGGTTAACAATTATTCTGGGACTCGATTCTTCCCGACGTCAACTTGTGTCTTCTGATCTGCTCCGTCGGAAGTATCGGCTGTGATAGACTTGTTTTGTGTTTCCGCGCCGCTGGCACCTGCAGTTGGTTGGCCCACCTGCACACAGAGACTATCGGCTAACCTGTGCCGCTGTAAATAATTGTGTAATTGATCCACTGCTCCTTCGCTGAAAGCTTTGCACAGCTGTGTCATTAAACTTGTCACAGTTTGGCAGTTTCTTTTGCTTAAGAGCTGGACAAAGTGTTTCGTTTCAGGCTACGTTTTTGTACGCCGGTTAGATGCCTTGATATAAGTCAATGTATAATTCCGTTAGTTAATCATATGTATTAGGCCTTACATATTATGTAAAGAAAATCCAATGTTGCTGAGGGATTGGAAACGTAAACGTCTTTGTTTGTGTCTAAAGTGACATGCCCATTTGCTCCGTAGTACGAATAGATATTGGTGTTACGGAGTGCAAAATGTGCGAACGATGTACAAGACATTGATGCGCGTATTAATTAATTATTGGTTCTGCTTATTCGTTGATTGGTTATTATCGATCCCAGCTGTAGTATACATATCCACGTAAGGACAGGAGTAATGCACTGTTCCGTATGCACCTTATGTATGAGTTTGCAGGCTTTTTCATATATGGAGAATATTGCGTTTCATTCCTGTACTTACTGCTTATGTGTTTGGTTCTCTGCTTCTCTTTTCGTTTTTCAGGGTTGGGGGGAGGAAGGTATGGGTTTTAAGAAACGTGTTTTGATCACGTCTCTTTTTCACAAGTTGCCATGATTGACGGGCAGGGGTAGATTGAAACAAGTAAGGCCAATTTTTGAAGAGGAGGAGGACAAGGAGGAGGAGACGAAGAAGAAGAAGAAGAAGAAGAAGAAGAAGAAGAAGAAGAAGAAGAAGAAAAAGAAGAAGAAGAAAAAGAAGAAGGAGAAGGAGAAGGGAAGAATGGACAGAAAGAAAAAAAAAGAAGAAAGAAATAAAGAACAGAAAAAAGAAAGAAAGAAAGGAGACAGTGTATATGAGAAGGGGATAGTGTGAAGGATGGAGGACGGAAGGAGGGATGTAGGGAGGAGCGAAAAAAATACAGAAGTAGAGCAACAAAACGCTTTTTTTGCACATTTTGAAAGAACTTGTCGTATTACCTCCAACCCCAAAGCAGCAACTTCTAGAGAGTGTGATATTAGAAGATGCATGCATTTCTCTGACTATCTCTGAATACTAGCATACAATTGAATTTTTAACTTTCTTTTTCTTCAACTACCTGGTCAGAAATAATGATAATATCGGCATCATGGTTCGGTACTCATTTCCCGGCTCGGAAGCCTTTCACAAAATCTGGCTCATACCTTTACCCGTCACGCATCTTTTCAAGTACTCTCAGAAAGTTGTTCTTGGTCTGCCTCTGCTCTGTTTGCCTTTTGCTTTGTTGTAATACTTCTTCACGCCGTTGAACTTGCTCTAACTGCTACCTGACCAGAGCAATTTCTGTACAAACGACCTCCCC